AATATGTTTACCCATGAGTAATCAGAAAGTAACATAGGAGTACTTGTTCGTGAAATATTGAAATCCAGTGGATTACACACACACACACACACACACACACACACACACACACACACACACACACACACACACACACACACACACACACACACACACACGCATTCCCACTATAGACACCCATTATCTCCGTCGGTATCCATGTGTTGTGAACCCAAAGCAGGAACTGTGGTCAGATGCAGGGAGAGGGAAGTCAGTGCTGGCAAAGAAAAGTCAAAGTCAGGCATTTTTAGAGTAAGATAAGAAGAGAGCGATGAGAAAGGAAAAACTAAAATAACAAAAAGCCGCTTGGGGGTAGGAGATTACTACAACAACACATTTCCTTTGCCCGGTTTTGAAATATTGCAGCCTTATAATCAACAAACACGACGGGGTGAAAAATGAAATAGTCATTAATCATTTGAACGCAAATACAGTGGCGCAAAGTAGACGTCTTGTGATCCGGTTATGTTCCCTTGACCTCAAAGGGTACGGTAAAACTTAGACTTGTGTGGCATTGGCAGGTGCTGCAGCTGAGTATGAAGCTCCCAGTATCCAGTGTCAGGCTTTTGTTTGCTTTTTTGATTTATTGCTGACCACTGCCCCACCTAACATGTGCGGAGGAGAGCTCCCCCTCCTCTCAACACCTTTATCCACATAAATAAACTCCATCGCTGCAGGAATGCCTGGGGTCCCATGCACTCCCCGCTTTAGAATCCTCCCAGCCCGATAAGATGACTGTTTAGGGTGTTTCATCGACATACTCCCGCCTCAACACATACTGACTCACAGACCCAATTTACCGACACATCTGCTGGCCCTTTGGTATCCGTCCACACATGGGCCACAAGTAACAGACCGAAGATGTGACTCAGGAAATAAAACGGTGATTAAAAGGGAGGCAACTTCGAAATAGCCAATCGATGATACTGATGAGGTGAGATGCCTTTGAATGAATAGAGACAACTCATCAAATTCAGTAAACGTTAACAGACTGATGGTTGGTTATCTGGAAACGTGTTTTTTTATTCAGCCTTGATTTAACCAGGTTTGTCCAATTGAGATCAAAGATATATTTTTGCAAGGGAGACTTGGCCACGAACCGCAGCAACACTACACAGAGTTTCAACAATTACCATAAAAGCACATAGATTTGAGTCAGATGAAAAATGATCAGAGATCCGTGACTGTTGGTCAGGGTTATTTAGTTTGAGATCTGTAAATTATTCCATGGAGAAGTACAGAAAATCTCCACAGTTCTGACTATAAATTATTTAGACATTGAACCTCTGAACTGTTCTCTTGGCAGATTAAGCTGTGTTGTGTAGCTACATTGGAGTAAGATATTCAAAACATTCTCATGATTATCACAATCTCCATCTGACTCTGAAGCAGGAATTAAAACAAGTCTATTAAATATAGCTCATAAGAAGAAGCAAACACTTTATGCAGTTGTTCAGCAGCACCCTCCACTGAATAAACTGGAACTTTTACGACTCTTCTTTTACAGCGCTGACCCTTAGGCTACTGATAAAAATATTAAAAGCCTACTTGGAACATTTTTATCTTGAACCCCTGACTACCAGCCAAAGACATTGACTTACTGGCAACTGTCTTGCATTGCAGCTGCTTTTGGGTGAGGGGGCATCAGGCCAAGGACGAGAGAGCTGACCCCCACCCCCCACCACAACGAGCATCTGTGCCCACGCATTCACGATGGCACCCACCGAACCAGAGCCATCCGTCACCAGCATCGATGACAACCAAATGCGCCGAGGGTGGAGTTCGGTTTGACTCGAGTAAAAACCACAAGCTAGGAGACACCGGCGCATTCACACATAGACTGCCACTGTACGCTCTATTGTCTGTCATCCATTAAAACGCAGCTGCCGCCACACTGAAAGGAGTTATGGCTGTGTGTTCGGGGCTTTAAGCTGAATGTGTATGATGTGTTTTTTTTTCATGACGAAAATACACCAAAAATTCCTCTTTCACACAGAAGAGGCTAATAATAATAATAGAGACATGGAGCTTTGGAAGGGGAGCTATGCCGCTCTCCTCCTCCCTCTCACCCTAGTGTCGAAGATCTGTTAGTCAGGGGCTGGGGAGTTTTCAGTCTCCAGGGGCACATCCCTCTGAACCGCCTGCCAAGCGTCTCCTCTCCCTCCTCCATTCTCTCACTCTGCCCCCTCTCTTTGTTCCCCACTTCTTCTCCTCCTCACACTCAACTTTCTCATCCACTCCAGTGTAGGGCTGCTCGATTATCGCAAAAATCATAATCTCGATTATTTGGGTCAATAATTGATATAACGATTATTAAAAACGATTATCCATTTACTTTGAAAACATCAGTTTATTGAAAAAAAAAATGTGAACAGAATGTTTTTAACAGTCGATTACCATTAACTTTAAATATAATTCAACTGAAAAACCAATAAAATAAAAAATGTATTATTCATAAAATCGTTTTATTTCGATTACGTTGTTTTCATAATCGTTGCAAGCCAAAATCGTAATTGCGATTAAAATACGATTAATTGAGCAGCCCTACTCCAGCGTCCTTTCAACTTCCGTCATTTATTCCCGTTTGCCCCTCAACAATTGCACTTTTTCGCTTTCACACTCTTATCTGTTTTCCCCCTCTCTGTTCTCTTCCACTCCTCTTCCTCTTCCAGTGTTCCAGCTCCTTTTGCAGCCGTGCATAATTAGGCCTAAACACAAGCCTGCGCAGGCTCACATCTGGAAGGAGTTTGGACATGGCAGTTTCCTACCAAGACGACTAAATATTTAGGTTGAGAGTTACTGCGTGTGGATGAACTCATGATAGAGGGGGTGGGAAGGGGACAGAAATGGGGAGCTGGAGATAAAGAAGGAGAGGAAAAAGGGACTTGAGCTTGTGGTCGGACGGCTGGGAATAACAGGATGCATCATTTAGACTAGTGATAAGAGTGAGTTTATAATCTGAGGTGCAGTAATGTAAACAAAGTGCAGCACACTCACTGGCGATCCAGAGGAGAAGGTGATAATATTTGGGCGGCTGGTTGCTCCTTTATGGCTGTCAGGAACAACAAACAGCCAACTAATAGTTTTAATAAACAAATCCCCATTGGGATTTCCCATGAGGCCGAGGGGCCTCAGCTGGAATGTTCACAGGGGCCAGCTGTTGTGCATTACACGTAGCCCCGGAAGCCCTGGGCCCGGCGTCCTCCAGCCTCCCCTCTCAGCGTGGAGGAGAGCATTCCTCCAGGCTGCCCCAGGAGAGACGGCAGCGGGGCTGGCTGTCAGGCACCCGATGTGGGGAGGGACCGAGGTGGTGCTCCCCTGCTGCACCTGGGATACTGTCTGCAGTCTCTAAACGCACGGAGGAATGTCAGGAATAACACGAATATCAACACAGCTTCTCACATTCCACATCTGGAGCTAATGTCATGAGCAACGATGGGAGAATGGGCGCTTCAGGAACTCCACCGTATCTTCAGGAAAATGTACTTTCCAGACACCAGAGTTCCTGGGAAAGGTAAAAAGTCAAAAAGGCCGATTGCGTGTGGAATCGTTTGCTCCTCGTATACGCAGCCTTGTAAAAGTTTAGCAAAAATGCTAAACATCTGTATAAAAACAACTCGACCAACATTTGTGGATGCTGGGATGGAAGATTATCTTCAATCACCTCGACCACTGCCACCCTAGCCTCTTTTTTTCCTCCTATGGTTCCAGCAATGTGTTCTCCAGATGTTTATTCTGTATTTAATAAGCAAGGCCCAATAAATGGACTGCTGGCTGACTTTAGCTCTCCTGGGGCATAAATCCCCTTCCTTTACCTCACATGCTCATTGCTGTGGGGCAGTTGAACATGTTTTTTTTTACTGTGCCCATGTGCAGCTAGCATTTCTCCCATCGGGTCAGAGTACGGAGACAGTTACATCCTGTGGGAACGTGCAACAACTTCAGAAAGTCTGAGCAGCTGTGAAGAAAGTGAACAAAAACACCGCCCAAAACATGGGTCACTGATAGATTGATAGTCCATCTGTCATGATAGTTTTGGCCAATGATGTGGCCCCTTTCAAGTTTTGTCGAAACACGAATAACTGTGATTTAAATATCACACTGAAACTGGCCCAGGACCTTTAGCCGTCCAGTTCTCACCAAATAGTCTGGTGTTTTCTTTCCTCAGCAGAGGCGTTTGTGAGACAGGGCGTTACCGTATTAAAAGTAGGAGCCAACCCACCAGTAAAGCACTTATACATCTGATATAAAATACACATAAATGTGTTTTTGTTAATTGTAGTTTTGACAGAGACAGCTGGACCATGTGCACAGGGTGGAGGTGGAGGTGTAGAAAGAAGGAGGGATGTGAGCGGTTGGGTCAGAGTTAAATTTGAAGTGACAGAGTTGTGTCAAAGAGGCAGGGCCGGATGATGGCTGCAGTCAGCCTGCCCTCTCACTGATCTCCTTAATGCTTTGCAGAGAGGCGACGCTCTGCACTGCTCTACAGAGTTAAACTAGATCAAGATGTAAACTTCTGACCTAACAAGCCTTATTACTGCAGCAAGTCCCCAATACAGTTAAACCTAAGGTCATGGGTTCAGATTCATGGGTGTGTGGGCTTGTCCAAACACTGTACCCTGACTAAGATTTTTTTTTTTTAATATACTATTTGAAACATGCAATCAAAACTAAGTTATAAACACTATAATATAACATGACAACACTGTGGATCCTCAGCTTAACATTGTTCACAAACTGTAAATATGGAAAAGGTTGTGACAGCTTGAAATGGATCCATAATACATTTTATTATAACAATACTTATAGGATATTGCAGGAACACTTCTGTCAGATGATATACATGATGACACCATAATGTAAGGTCACCATGTGCAACACACATGCTAGGGGCGGGATAATAATAATTCAGTGATAAAACATTAGTTTAAGTAACTTTTTGGGAAATGTTTCGAACTCACAGAGTGACGGTCCTGTTGGGCAGTAGGCTGGCATCCGGAGGTTCCGTCAGCTCCTCTTTGCTGCAGCTCACCCGCCTCCCCACCGCCTGGACGCTGTGCCCCTTGGACCGCTCGTCCGTGCAGCTGCAGCCGCTGGAGGAGGCGAGCAGCCCGGGACAGGCGTGGGAGAGCCTCGGCCCGGAGGCGCACAGCAGCAGCAGCATCAGTACCAGGTGCCCCGGCAGCAGAGGGATGCCAACGCCGGGCGCAGACATTGTCCTTCGGCTGGATCTCACCTCAGCTGCACCCCCGCCTCCAGTCATCCCATATCTCCACCATGAAGCTTGCAGGGGGGTGTAAGGAGGTCAGCAGGACACGTAATGCTCTTGAATGAGATCTTGAATGAATGCTAAACTTAGAAATCCTCCGCCCAACAATGGACACGCATCATCCGGTCACTTCAGAAATATTCTGCACTCTTGATTTTCCAAGAGTCCCGTTATGTCATGGCAGCGCGGGCGCACGGTTCCCAAATAGTCCAAATAAATGTCAATGGATGTGTGAGTCCATCCAAACCAACACGTAGAAAAAGAGGCACTCTTCTGACTTTGAAAAGTTGAAGGTTTTATAAATTACCTTTAGAGATTTACATCACTTTGGGAGTGTCCAAATTACCGTTATCTTCCCCTCTCAAAATTAATCCCGGGGTTGATGACCTTCACGATTGTGCAGTCACATCCAGATACTCTTTATGAAGAAATACAGTTAAACGTACATGCCAAAAGGTTTCTTTTGTCAGTTTTTTCGCTGCTTTTAAAAAGTTTTCCTCACGTTTTTCCCGATCCTGTAGGTCTCCCGATAGACTTCTCAAAAAAGCAACTTTAGATAACAGTAAAGGATGAAAAACTGTTAACTCGGACAAGAAATTAGCTGGTCTTGATCCGCTCCCGTGATTCCCAAAATCTAGCGGTTTTGCCTGCTTGTCTCTGTCACACTCAAACTCACTCAGTTACTACCCCAAGTGCGCCCGTTCCGTCTGCGTCTGCGCTCTGGTCCCCGCGGTCCTAGCGCATCCAGCCCACACCGATCCAGCCCCGTTTATAAAGACAGAGAAAATGATCCACCTGTGACCTGAGGTAAACCAACCTGAAGTCACTTCAACCCTTCAACCTCAGGACGCGGTAGGCTATGTATTGTAGTTGTCCTAGATAATTTGGTAAACGGCACATAAATAAAAAAAGACATAGGCCTACTGTTTTTCGCAGATTCCTTCAAAACCACAATCCACATCTTAAAGTGTAACAATCTCCTTTTAATATAAACAAATCTTTTGCATCTGATCTTAAATTAGGGAAAAACGATTTGCTTGATGAAAGAGACTACCTTTTTTTTTAGTATAGTAAAACAAAAAGTCATGCAGGCCTATTTAACACTTTCTAAAATTAGAAATTACAAGTATTAGCGTAAAAATGCTCTTGCTTTAAGTAGGCCACCTACTAATTTCGCACATTTATGGATAATATAGCCTGTTACATGATTTAATTATCCTTTTATTCTAGGCCTATAGTTTGGGTAACTTGTCAAATTCTTCAAGGGATAAATAAAGGTTGATCTTAATTTATAATAATGCATGATATATATTGTTTATTTTGTGATATTTATCCTCATCTGAAACATAAAGTCACTAACAGTGTAGTAAAATGTACCTCTAATGTAGACTGGTAGAAGTATAAGGTAGCAGGAAATGGAAATACTCAAGTAAAGTAAGAGGAGCCTGTGTACACATGTAGGCTATTGTGTCACTGTCCGCCGTGCTTTTAACCTTATTATCATCGCGTAGGCTAATTTAAGTTACATTCATTAGATTGGTGACATATTGTTTACTTAAAGCCCGGGTAAGCGATGCCAACAAATTAAGCTAATGTTTTTTTCTTTAAATATCCAACCAAAGAAAACGAACCAGCCCACAAACTTTTTTCAAATGAAAGTAGCTAGCAGCATTAGCTTCAAATGTCGCCAAATATAGCGAGAAAGTCGTCAAGTTTGCAATACTGACAGCAAACAAAAAACCGGACTATTGTTGCACAGCTCTCAAGCTAGCAGCGTGTGGAAGTCTCTGGTGACGAGCAAAGGTCAAAGTGCACGCAGGTGAACAGCAAGCTGGAGAGCTAATAACAGTCCTGCGATATAAATGCAAAGGGTAACTATCTTATATAACAGCATTTTAATTATTGATAGGTGATGGGATGTAAAGAGTATGTCATGCATGGAAAACATTATGGAGCAGCAGAGAAGAAGATCATGGGTCTGTTTTTGATTAAATAATGGGAGAGTTTATGGGATACAAATTGTTTCAGTGCCATTGCTTTTGTTGTGTTGCTCTTTGATTTGACTTGGCTACTTCCACCCAGGAAGGTCTTGATTACAATGTGCGCCTGCATTGGGAGAGCAAACTAAATTTAAGAATGAACGCTGGAAGTCTCTTGTAGATTATGTGTTTCAGATCACAAGCTTTCCATTCATTCAGCGCGACGGAGGGGAAGTAAGTCTTTTATAAATATATTTCACTATTTTCTATATTGTCAAAAGTTAGAGCTTGACGATAAAATTACACCGAGCTGTCTATTGAAGATGGCATACTTATGATTTGAGTTTGTGTCATGTGTTCCAGCCCTGGAGCAGTTGTTTTCATATCCAATGGAGGACACCTGCAAAACCAAGCTTCTTAGAAAAGGTTGTAACAGATAATACAAGTTTTGATGTGGTAACGACCCAGTTAAGATGTATTGAGGTGACCTTTCTACTTAATGCAAATTCGTTTTTGCAGTTCTAACAAGCCAACATCTGCTAAACAGAATACATGTCAAATCAATGTCACCTGAGAGTGATGTTCTTCGAAAACCGTGTACTGTATTTATTGCCAAAGTAGATATATTTTGTAGATCTCCATGTTGATTCTTTTAGGGTTGAAAAATAATCCAATAACTCAAAACCTTGTGTTGAAAGAATAATGTGTTTTTCTTAAATATTACATTTACCCCACGAAAGAATCCCACCGTCCAAAAAATACCGGGGATCATAAACTTCCTAAAGCTCTCCTTTTCACATTTTTGCCTGCGTGTATGGAAAGTTCCCAAAATACAGTCCTGGACTCCGTGGATTTCTGTTTTAAAAATACTTTTTGATATACGAGAGGCCCGGGCAGGATGGAGATGGAAGGGATTCAAATCTGGAGAGTATTTCCAAATATGAGAAGGTTACTCAGGAAAGCTTCTTGAAAAGGGACTTTATGTGATTGGGCTTGACATGTGTTCACTGACATATCTAAACTGCATCACCTCAGTATAATGGCGCTCTGTGCACTGACCCGCACCGTGGACCCTGGGTTTGTTATTCCTGTATATGATACTGTACACTGGAGCGGGCTCAGAAAGCCAGCATGATTATTGAAAGAAAGCACAAGGAGTGGATGGGCGCCTGCTCAGCAACGAAACAGAGGGCTGTTTATCCAAGCTGTTAAATAAGGCTTCAAGTACAACACCCCCCTCCGACTCCATAAGGCCCAAATCTCTCTCATCTGGAGAGCACAGTTTCCATTTAAAATGTCACGTCCCAAACTGCACATTACATCAAATTGTACTTAATGGCATCCAGACAAACTTTAATGTCGTTCCAACATTTTCTCTGTATGCACCCCGCAGCCCCCCTCGCTCCTTATAGCCAAGCAAGCAATCTCTCCTTCTCCCTGCCCTGCTCCACATCTGGACTCCATTCCAGGTGGGGAGTTGCGAAAGGGGAGAAAGTTGAGAAAAGGAAAGGTGGAACACAGAGAGGCTGAAGAAGTAGGACTGAGAAAATGTCTTTGGGGAGATTTTTGGTGGAAGTTACGTAAGGTTTCAGGATGTATATGACAGACGATACGTGATGGAAGATTTCTCTTGGGCATGTTCCTTTTGTCCCCCTAAATTACACGATATAACAAAAACAGCGAGGCAATCAGAGATGGGAACCAGACACAGTGACGGCTGAGATTGAGGCACAGCTCAGGCCTGTGTTTCTGCCAGTAGATACACAAAAGAACACTTCCAGCAGGGAATCCAACACCAGGCCCTCTGTAAGGCTTTCAGTCTTTCTCGGTGATCGTGTGACATCTAGTGGTGTGATTGGCAGCACACTTAAGGCCCGCCCCCTCTCAGCAGCTCTCAGCCTTCCTGCAGTTTTTCCTGCTGTGAATGGTTCTAATTAAGAGTTTATGGGGACGTTAAACCCACCGCTTCCACAGTTTATGGGGTTATCAAATCATAATGTGGTGCCATATTTTTCAACACTAAATACCTTTGTCTATCATTAAGAATTATTATCAGCAGCACACGTAACCGCAGTTGTGGTAACCTTAATGACATCTAACCCAGAATACACTGTATGGCACTGCATCATGTTTGCACAGTCCAGTTTTTGTATGCAAAGTAAATGCATCATATTTTGTAATCCATATTAAAGAAATCACTCAAAACTGTAACAATTGGGGATTACACAAGCATGCATTCTATACTTAATAAATGTATGCATACTCTAGTTTTTGTTTACATTTTTAGACAAAACTATTTAAGATAAGAAATCATACCGTGTCTTCACAGAATCAAGCTTTTTATGTAAACATTGATTGTGTAGTCCATTTTTTCCCCTCTCTTCCTTGTTTCTTGCCTTCTCAGAGTTCAGAAGAACTGTTCGAATGAGGCAATGCTGCCCTCTTGGGTTCAGCAGAGTAAATTACATGACTAGCCATTGACACTGCTCAGTCACTAGGGGCTTGGACTGGGAGCCGTAGGGTCGCCGGTTCAAATCCCAGACCAGACCTAAATATGGAGTGTGGATTGCTACTTGGAGAGGTCCCAGTCCACCTCCTGGGCCCTGCCTTGGTGCCCTTGAGCAAGGCACCGGACATCCCTCTTCCCCCCTTACTCCCCGGGCGCGCTGTACAATAGCTGCCCACTGCTCCTAATACTAGACTCCTGGTACTAGGATGGGTTAAAAGCAGAGAACAACTTTCACTGTGTGTGCTGTGTGATCTGCACGTGTGAACATTACAGAGGGTGTCATCCCTCCCAATTTATTCTATTCTTCTTCTAAATGTTAAAGGGCGATGTAAGTTAGTGAAAGCAAATAACTCGGGGTTAAATCCTGCTCTTTAATACCTTTCAGAGTAACTGAAAACTTGAACTGCTGTGTGTCACCTTCACATTTTAGAGGTCACAAAAGGCAAGTCCTGACTCACCCTGCTAATTTGATGCATAACCGTATTCTTATGTCACATGTGGTGACACCCTACTTGTCAGACCTGTATAATGTGGCTTCTAAAAAACAGGGATGTGTCCCCACACCTCTTTTTTTTTATTCTGTAAACTCCATCCAACACTGTGGTGTGGTTAGTGTGTGTAGGCAACAGTCTGAAGGACAAATCAGCTCATGTAAATGATGAACTGGGAATCTGAATATGAAGCAGACCGACAACTTCTCACATCTCTTTTCAATAAAAAAAAAGTGTATTTTTCGTGATGTACTTCTCAGTCATTATTGAAATGTCTGCCTCTACACTAGTGTTTCCAAAACAGAAAGCATTGGCAACAGTATGTTTGCTCATGTTGTGTTTGTCATGTCACATGACTCCTAACACTAACACACTCCTAACAGATATTAATTGGTATGCCTGTTTTCAATCCCAAGTTAAGTCATATGTTATTACACATAGTAAGACCGAAGGTTTGTGATTTAATGCCAATCTTTTGTAAAAGAGCTATTTTCATGTCAGACGTTTTCACAACTAAGAAAGGAACAAAGTTAAATTAATAACGTTATTAATGTTTATCAAAAGTAATAGCACTCAGACACAGCTATGGAATGGATTCACCGTTAATGAAACAAGTTGCATGTGGTTTTCAATCCAACATGTGACGAAAGGAAACTATGAGAAAAGGTGGATATAACTTGGAAGTGTTTAAAATATTGGCCATATATGAATTGCAAAGAAACACGTTTGACCCTGGCCTGTACTAATAGTGTAGTCTACTTGTATAATGGCAAGTCAATATAAATACTTTAAGTTAAGGCACACATCCCTGATAAAGTAAAGAACCAGATATGATATTGAACACTTTTTCCAACACAGTCACCATCACGAAGAAGCTTTAGGTTGTGCGATTTTATTAAGTGCCACATGAAATGTGAACATAGTGTATCTCCGAGTGATGCTGCAACTGGACAAATGTATCATCAACTCTTTTCATACTAAATGTCCTGTGCATACATTATGGTCTATATTATAGAACACAGTTCAATCACAAAAACATCACAAATATTTGTATATTTTGCATTAGTCTATAGTCCCTCATAAGCAACAAAGCAAAACAAGTCAGAAAATATTTTTTTCATTATTTCTACTCATACATTTTTCTTACAAAAGAAAAATAGAAAAATTCAAGGGCTTTTGGCCTGAAACGAGCACAACATTCACAAACTCCTTTGCATCTGTAACAACTTGGATTCCACTTCCCTTCCCTCTCTCGCACACACACACAGTCACACTGCACGTGAAAGCATGCATCCATACACACACAAACACACTTAGCACTGTCTGTTTACAGTACATTTTGAAATGGCATGCAGCGCAGGTGTCGGTAAGATTTTGGTCCCTTTGCGTCAGCAGGAGATTCAAAAGATTCAAATCCAGATCCTCGGAGAGCCAGTCCTGGTGACTTTGTCTAAAGTGTTGGCGTTCTGTGAATCTGGCCATTGTGATGTGGCTTTAGTCCATTGCGGCTGTGCCACAATAAAGTGAAGAATAACGTGAAGTGTGCCTTTTTGTTATAAACTATATTGTTGTACTGTTATGTGTTCACTATATTTGTTTTATCTATACTTGCTGATAGCCCAATTTTCCCCGGTGGGACCATGAAGAACTGAAGTGAGGCCATTTGGAGAACAAAGCCCCACTTCTCACACGATTATAAGAAAGGCAAGAAAGTGAATCATAATATTGCAAAATATGGTTAAATGTGATCAGAAAAAAAGAACATCCTCTGCCATTTTGTTGACAATTGTCCACCTCACGCCCCATCCCAAGGTCTATAACTGAGTCAGATCGTGTGGAGCTTCAGGCAGACGAGCAGCACTCTACGTCCGGAGCGGGGGGGTGGTGGAGAGGCAGACTCACTGGCGGGGGGAGATGGTGGCCTGAGGGGACGTTCCTGGGCCTTGGTACCTCTCTTTGGCGTGCTTCTCACAGTACATCACATCTCCGACGCAAAAGTGACCTCTCATCTTGAGGTTAAGGCCGCAGTCTGTGCACGTGTAGCACTCTGCGTGGCGGAAGCGGTCGTCTGAGATGCGCACGGCCAGTGTGCTGTGGGGGGGGGGGGGGGGTGGGGGGGGGGAAGCAGTGAGTCAGACACCAGGCACACACACACTGCACAGTCTGACAACAGGGTGCAAGGAGTTCCCTCATTTCCAATGCAAATCAAAGAGTAGCAGCACAGAAGAACATCACATTTTAAATTTGAATCCTTTAGAAAAACTAGCAACAGAGCAAAACATTAGCATGTTGATGTCACACTGACATGTATTATCTTGCTTCCCTAAATTAATTAGTTACAAATGTGGTTTTAAAAAGGCAGGTTCACTTGTTTGTAGATGTTTCTTAAAAATAATTCAAACATTTTATCAGCTTTGGAAATAAATACATCTGCATTACGGACGGATTTCATTGTGGTTGCAGATTGCTACCAACCTAAAACCCTCGCTCACACTTCCCCTTTACAATAAACGAGTACAAAGTTATATCTTTCAGGACTTTTGCCTTGCTGAGGCTAAATTAACCATAACATGACTTCAAAGGGAATTCAGAGAACTACAGTGTTAGGTTTGTCCATTCTGAGCTAGTGTCTCACTGTGGTATCCGCTCCCTATGTAGATATGAAGGGCTCACTTTACAAGAAAATATTAAATGTTCTGCTAATAGACCCGTAAATACTACACTGGCCCTTTAAGACTTTTCCATTATATTCAGTAATTAGGTGCTGCAGTCCTAATAACTGGTTGTGACACATTCCAAAAATGAAAGATAAAACCACACGCAGTTCATATCAAACCTTTCTTGTGGAACAACTGTTACTGCAGGGCAAATTATATTTCTGTTGACTCACACGTTTCACAGTGCGAGTCCAGGGAACGTGTAACTGCAGGTGACTTACAGAATGCCGGTGCCGCACTTCTCACAGGTGTGGGTGCTTTTGACGCCTCCTACTGATGAGTTTGATTTGGGAATGTTGGGCGAAAGTCCTGGGAATCGCAGCGCTGCCTCTGTAGTCAAACACACACACACACACACAGCTGCTCAAAGGGATGTTGTGACAGGCCGGCATCTCTGTTCATCACACTAACAATCCGTTTGCCTTCACTACCCTCTGTCAGCGGACCTTGTTTATTTTTCCCCACTCTCCATCATCGCTCATCAGCCCTGAGACACGCTTCATGAAATGGGGTTTCCACACATCGGTCATTATCACGTCATGAGAGAATGTTATTGCTCTCTGGATTTATTTCCCCAGCAGAGAGAGCAAAGGAGGACAGATGCACTCAATAATATTGTATTCAAAATGTGAATTGCACACAGGTGATGGCCATATGTCGAAGTTAAATCGCTCCTTCTGCACGATAGGCCTAACAGGAGTGGTTTTTAAATGGAGACGCGTCAGCTAACCAACTGTAGGAGATGAAATGAATTATCTAGCATCTGAGAAAATAGCTGAAACCTCAAATATCCTATGCAGAGAGATTTCTGTGGTTAATCATCAGTCCAAAAATAAATCACGCTTAGAGCAGAAAAAAGAGACTGTATAGCAAACACATTCATATCTCATTCATATATATTCATGCTTATCTTGAGTTAGAGTAGGTTCGACCTTTATCAAGCATTAAGTACAGATGCCTGATAATGTCAGATAATTTGTATTCAAAGTATTAAATGTGTGTAAATATTTGGACACTCTTTAGAATTGCGTGCTAACTACAAAGCCATTATTTTCACTTGAGCTCATTTGTTTGTATTGCAGAGCGCGTCTCACCTTTCTCGTCGGCCTCCAGGACCTCCTGCAGCATTTTGAAGGTGTTGGACTGCCGAGGCGCCGTGCGAGACTCCTTATTCTCCTGGATCATCTTGTACACCTCAGAGTCCCTGTCGAACTTCTGCATGGCAAAGTCAGAGCTCGAACTGCTGTAGATGGAGGAAATACAAATATATGTTAGACTGTTACTGGAATCATACGTCAAGCGATGTGTTCAGCGGAAAACGTGCATTTCTGAAAGACTCATGAGTCCAGTTTAACTTAAACCAGAGGAAATGAAGGAAGGGGAAGCAGCTGGCTTTGAGACCTTGACCTCTGAGTATTAAGCCTAGATTGCACAGCACAGGCAGGAGGCCAAACAGTGACCAATCACACATCTTCCCTCAACAGGACCCCAACATATCCCCTTTCCAGAGGCACTGTTCTGACTCTACTCACATTTTTATCACGGTTCTTGCCTCAAGGAAAAACAAAGAGGACTTAAGGCTGATGGTGGAAGCTTAAAGAGGCCTTATTATGGTGTTTCCTTTCCTGTAGTGTGTGATATAGGTTTAAGTGCACGGGAATGGTCAGCACAAGCTATAATCCCAAATTCCCTCCGGAGGAAGTTCGGAATCCTTTGTTTAATTCTATAACATAGTAACATCACTATGTAACACTCACGCTCCTATTGGCTAGCGCTCCAACACATTGTGCATGATAGGATAAGGGGCGGGACATCTCTGCGGACAGAGGGTGACAAGAGGTGCTGCAGCACAGGCGTCAAAGCATATACACATGTCACAGTAGAGGCAAATGTAAATATGAAACCTGAAAATCAACATAAAAAAAGTCACATCCGAGTCAAATGTGTTCTGATCCAGTAGGAGCAGCTAGAAAACAACCAAGAATGCAGGAAGCTTTTAACTTCTTGTAGTTTACGCTATCAATTCATTAAGAAATTAGATAGTGGCTCTCTCTCACTTTGTTGTTTTTTACAGCTACTTCCATACCTGTGTGTTTAAATACCAATCTCTCCTTGAAGAAGCACACGCATTACAATCTGCACTGACAGCTGATTAATAAGTCAACAGAAACACAAAAGACACAGAAACACAAAAGACACAAAGTACGTTCAGCTGTGTTTGTCTGCAGGCAGCTGGTGAGTGTTTGCTGTCAGTAGGAACCGGTTTGATGCCTTCCACCTGCCGCCCGCCTGTCAGCCAGTCATTCCACTCTACCTGACTGAGTGTCCCGCCTGTCACACACAACACATCTGCCCAAATATTGACTCTTTAAACTGACACCAGCGCTGTGAAGAATCTGCTCGGGCGAAAGCTAAACCATGGAAACGGTTTGTTACTGTGACTTAGCTGATATGTGCATACCTTTAAGCATCACTGCACTATAGGGTATTAGTGGTACGGGTAGGTACTTGTTGAACAAGGACCAAATGAAGTGTTTGGACGGTGACATATTAGCAACACATGAGTTGTGTTTGCTCCGTAGGCCTACTCATGCACACTGGATGTGATATAAAACAATGACTATGAGGTTCAAAGGCAGATTTTAAGATTCAGATGGTCTTTTTTTTTTTTTTACACATTCTCCAAATGCACTGGAGCTATTTCACAGACATGTCACATTAATGGTGTCCAAGCCTTTGTAGTGTATGGTATTTATGAACTGCACACAGCAAGTACTTGGTATCTTCACTGGTGATGCTCTGCCAGGTCTGTTATTCACTTCTTGCTCGTTTCAGGCTTTTTCTTTCCGTCTGTGAACCACATGCTCAGTCGGATGAATATCACGTGGCAGACTTGGATGGTCAAGAGCATTTAACAGTTTGGCCAGAGATTAAAAAAAAAAAACTCACCGGTTGCATGGTTTAATCTTAAGGATTGCTGTTGTCAGGGAATCTCTTATAAAATATTAAAATGTGTTAGTAAGTACACCAAGCCTGTTGTGATGAATCAAATGCCTTTACTTTATGCAGCATGGAGAGAAGACACTGCTCTCTGCAGGACTTTCAGAGTGTTTTGGTTTATATATTAGTATGTAAACAATCATGACCCCATGATAAGGATGGTTCAATTAGTTATTCATTAACCCCTCCTCAGTCGAGTTACCTCTCGGTTTACTGTCAATAGACTTGTCTGTTTTAAGTCCAATGTGCAAAAAACCTAAAAAGGGCATCAGTTAAATTACGTATCAACCTCTCTTGTACATGTAACATGCCTCAGTGTGTTATACAAAACAACACGTCACATGTCGACATGGGTTTAAAACCTTGACGGTGGGCTGTGTACAGTATGTGCATTGCTCCTGTCTGTATTTCAGCTTTAGGCTTCCTTCTAAATGAATATGGCTGAAATCAGAGATGGAAAACAGACAAGACAACAAATATGCGACCAAGGCTCTCAGACCCTTTCCCTCTGAATCACTGAACATGGTTCAAATTGAAAACAGACCTCTAAAGCACACCCTCCAAGTTCTCCACATGCTCAGCTCCACCCTCAGAAATCCATTTCCATTTTTGCCTCGCTCACCATCTCTCTTTTGAAATGGCATTCTCTAAACAAATGGAAAGTTGAGGTCAAAAGGCAGGAAAACAAATAACAGAAGTGAGGAAGGGGGGGCAGCATGCATCTGAGAAACCAGTCGAGTGCACACATTTGAAGAGGAAGCAGTCAAGAGTTCACAAAGTATCAGGCAACTTCAGAGGAGTTTGTCATCTGAGTCGTTCCTTTTAAGTGTTCTCACATTTACACAATGGCTGCATCTAATATGAATGTGTTGCTGGGAGCCATAGCCAAACTTGGCACAATGCAATGATAAGGATCTAGTCATAGCACATGAGCGTAGCCAAAACATATCAAAGTTCACAACTACAGTCAAATTCCAACCACATTGCTCAGCCTGAATTACAAGCAGTGCAAAACCAAAGCCGGCCCATCTTGACAAAATAAATCCACATGACCAAACTCAAAATGACAGGACTCACCTCAAACAGAAAGAGAGGGAACAAAGAAATGGAGCTCAACTATTCTCTCCAGGAACTCTGTGTATATCTAACACTGCTGTAGCAACTTGCAACATACAAGAGGAACAACAATACAAGATACCGAAACACACACACCTCTATCTAAACCAGACGAGACAGAAAAACAAGAGCCTGACTGAAAGGTGTGCCTCTGAGCTGACACTCATTGGACATGCGACATGAAGGGGTGGGTTACTGGGTGTTACTGAGTCTGTGATTGGCTGGGGAGGAAAAGGGAGAGGCTTGCTTTTCAGGCTGGGGGCTTCAGACTGGGGGCCAATCAGGGGGAAAAGTCCAAATCTGACATTTTGGGGGAATATGGGTGTTTGGATATGCAGTTGCTGACACGTCATATCACTGGTGGTGGTTACCAAAAGAGGAACAGGGGCCAAAGTCAGCCATCCCTCGCTGTGAAAACACAGAAAGCAGGCTCTGCAGCACGGAGTGGACACAAGAAGATTTTCATTCCTGCTGAGAATCAAAACATTGGTAGGTGCATCCAAAAAAAAATGTTCTGAGGACGGCACCTGCACGCTATGAACTGAGTCACATGACAGCTTCATCACCTCATCAGAGGGCGAAGCAGGGAAAAGCCAACTGACGTTCAGATGGTGGACACAATAGAGTCCCAAAGGCTGAGAGTTCATGTGTAGTCGACGAGTGCAGCTGCAAACGAAGCATCTACAGTCAGCTGCAACACAGCACTGCATACACAAGCTGACTAACACTCGTAGACATAATGAATGCAGTTTTTTTGAAGATGTTTTAGTCCATTTGTCCTTTTTACTGTCTTTCCACACAGACTTTAAGAGAGGGTTACGTTTAAATAAAATATAGGAAAGAATGTTTCTAGCAGAGGTTTGTTCCAGATGAATTCCAAATATGGGAAATATTGCAATATTCTTACCACTGATAAACACATTATCCGTATAATAGATTTGTGTTTGTCTTGTGGTGACCATTTCATGTTTAAACTGTCAGACTTGATTATGTAACCCTATTGTAGATGAAAGAAGATACCATAGGGATTAGATGAGTTCACATCCAATAACCAAGTACAATAAATACAGCCTCAAACCTTACCATACATGTAGGTTACAACAAGATATCTGTTAAATGTGTTATTACTCGTAGAACTAGATTATACTCAATGTTTTCCTTCATCTGGGAAAATTAGCTTTTCTGGACCAGGTCATGTTCATTTCGTAGGCTTGAACCTGTGAGTGTAACCTCTACTGGCCTGTAGATGGCGCTAAATGCTTACAAGATATGCTCTTATAAGATAAGACACGATCCTGCTGCTGTTCAGACTGTGCTCTACACTTTAATCTCTGTAGAGGAACTTTTTGAAGGGTCGAAAATTGATTCAAGTGTAAAGGCATTTCTGCACGTTGTGTTTCTTGAGTAAGGAACATCTGGTTGTTCATATTCCAGCATATCGTTAAAGAATAGTATACAAGTAGTGGGTTTTCCACTTTTGTAACATGCAGTGCAAGCATCAACTTGTATATGTATACATGTATATATAGTATATGTCTGGTTGCATTTGCAAGATGATATCATATTTTAAAATTTGAGTTTAACTGCACAATTTATACAATTCAACCATAACATATAACACAATATAGGAAGAAGAAGAGGCAGAAAACCCCACTGGGCCTGAACGTAAATACATTTGACAATTGCACAATGTTAAAGAAAACACCGGATTAATATAAAAATATATATCTTCATATTCTGTCAGATAAACTCAACTAACGTACCTAAATGGGGCGGGTTCATAGCCTCAGTATATTCTGCCATTGTTAGGATGTCCTTTCATGTTGGGTTTAGATATAATGGATGTTTGCAATGCAAGTGGATATTTACCTGCGACGAGGGGACATGGGAACATCCCGATCGATGGGGCTGTGGGGGGAGTAGCGCCCTGGTGGGGTGGGGGTTCTGCTGGACACAGAGTTATTCCTGTAGTCTGAAGGGGAGAACTCCTGTGGAGGAAGAGGAAGATGACAATAAACGAGAGAGAGTGAGTAAGCAGGAAATCCAACTTCCTGCAGCAGCCGAAACCAAGTTTGCAGTTTAGAGTTGAGGAATCTATTGAGACAGGGAACAAGTGCTTAGACCATGATGCAATGTTACTGTACAAATGAAACAAGAAGAGCTATGTTCAGAGCAGACTTAGGGATTCACCAGCAGTATTTCTGGATTACTGCTCCTCCAAGCAGCGTATTGGCACTTTACAAATTTAACGTCATTGTTTCAGGAAGCTCTAAATCTGAGGAGACTGCACTGTAGGAAAGTTGGAATCAAACAAATGTGTGTTCCAGTAGGATATAATCATTCAAGATTAAAAAAAATAGGATAGATTTATAGGTCTCATAAAGACAAATAAACTCAAGATGGAGAAACACCAGATCCTTGGTTTTGCTTCATAACCTCCGAACGTTTGACTGAAACCTGGAGAAGTTGTTGCGGCGCAGAATAAGCAATGCACTTTGTTATTGTTTCTTTGTATTTGGTGCTCACCACGTTTCCAGTGCATGAATCACACGCCCAACATTCCTCCACTGTGGGCTGATCCGTCTCAACAATTACAGGAACATTTTTTTATCTTGATTACCATTTCTATCAGAGCTGTACTTCAGACCTTCAGCTGATAGATGATGGTTTGCGTGGCAACAGATGTTTGGCACTACATCCTCTGTTGGTCTGATGGGAAAGACAGAGCTTGCATGTACTTCAATATCTTCCAGATGCCAGGCAAATCTCACAATTATTCATGGTAGATAAATCGTGTTCATCGTCATGAAATGAGAGAAGATGTTCCACGCCAATTGAACCTCATTCGAACAATTTGAAAACTTGCCATAGTGTAATTCAGGAAGTTAACTGGGAGCAAAGTCTTAGTTAATTATATAATGTTTGAATTTTGACAGAAGAGGGCGCTACATACCTACTGTACACGAGAAGCTCATAAACTAAGGTCTCAGTAGACGTGCCAATGACATTTTTTATTGTAGCTGTTCCGAGCAGAAACCAAAGGCACGATACAGAGTTACAACATTGCAGGCAAAGGTTGATTTATCCAAGTTTACTTATGTTAGGGGTGAACCACCATTGACGTGACCTCAGGCACATGTTCACACTAAACACTGAGCACACCTGGACTAAGTCTGCACAGCACATAACTCAACCCAGACACTTTTACTGTCAGGAATTCCAACAAACTAATTGTTTTCAACCACAACACTGTCTGGCATCTAACCATGTCCACCTGCAATGCTTACCGCTTACTGGTCACGAAATGCATGCAATATTTAGCCTAACAAACATGTCTAGGTTTCAAGAAAAGGGAAGTCCCAGAACACTTTCACAACTCCCAATTTGCTGAGAAACAAAGCTATTACTTTATTTTATGTGTGTGCACAGTCCAGGAAAATGTTTGACTGTGAATCAAAAAGCCCACAGACAACTCCAGAGCCTTTACAATGAAGCTCACTGAGTTTTTCTCCCTCAACCATGACCAGCTGGCATCAGTGTTGCACAGGCTCCATCCAAGAGGGAAATAATGTCTCCACTCGGGTCTGAGAGTCAAGTTGGAGCTGATGTTGGAGCTCCATGCTGACACAGTGGCACCGATGGAGTCAAAGATGTGTGTGACCAATGCCAGCACCCGCTTCCATTTCAGCAACTCTTTGAACAATGTCTCTGTTCTCAATTGAGTCCAATTTTCCTCTTCTTTTTCCTTAGTGAGTGGGTAGATTAGTGGTGCGTGCCAGGAAGCCTTTACCAGAAAATGATCATTGGGATGTCTTTCTGCGATTCCTCCAAGGATACAACCCCAGAAAAAAATAACTGCAGGCTCATAAGATCACATCTTCCATATGATCAGAAGACAAGAATAAAGACATCCATGTCCTCTCATGCTCTGAACCAATCTAAAGTGCATATACCTGAAAGACGTGCATGCTTTGGGGATTCTTTCAGGAAGACCCAGTGAAGCCACACAGTATGGGCACATGAATCCACACTAATGCAATCCAAGGCTTTTGTTATACAAGCGTCTGGCCACAGAATGTAGATCTTCATGCTCTCTGCAGAAGATTTACAGATAGTATCACATCTCTAATCTATGGGACTCAAGAGGAATGCAATGAAGTAAAGAAAAACAAAGGCAAGAGGGGGGAGAAAAAACAAGAGCTCCACCGTGACACTGAGTATGCAGCTGTGATTGAGTTTGACCTTAGAAAGCAACAAAAAAAAACGTCTGCACCACAAGAGCAGTTTCCCCATTACCATCGTCAACTCTGCAGTCTGATGCCAGCCTTTTATAGCAGTAACCATGGCACGTCTGGCACTGGCCTTAAACTGGGCTGCCCAAACGTCTTTTTTGTTCTCAAAGCATCCCTGTTCCATTGTGAGCCATCCCACCATCACCCATGGCTGATCTCAGAGATGTTGGTCAACTGCACCATGGCAGTGCCAACAGTGCCTCTACAAACTTAGGGAGGGGCACACAAGCACGTTGAGCAAAGCCTTTTATTTTGTCTTGGATGTTTCTCTCGATGGGAGAGATAACTGGAGAAAATCCTCAGCCAATTCTTCCTGTGGCTGGCGAGAGGAGGAAGCTCTGATTAAAGCTGCAGTGAACTGTAATCAGGAGCTCACAGTCAACATACCCGGGATCATTAGGGCTAGTCACTGGTATACTGTGCTGGTTTTGAGCCGCATATACAATAACATTTCCAAACTAAATGTCTGCCACTTTAGGTTTCTACTTGTCTGAGTTGATGAATGAGATCATTCAAACACTCAGAAATGTCAATCGGCTTCTTATGAGTGTCCTTTGCACACACACACTATGATCTGCCAAAGTTTTGAATATTTCACAAGAGACTTCTATATTTGTTTTTGTCTGTGCTCTAATCACTATGGATGGGGTTCATTTCGAAATCCCTAAACCCAGTCTGAAGATTGCAAGACCAGTTTTTCCTTTACACTCAGTTAAATTCTACATCACACTTTTTGCTAAACCCACCCGCCTCTTTATTAGACACCTCATTAACAATTTAATTCTTGTGTAACATTGGAAACTCCAATCACAATGCCAAGCTTGATTTACCAACTTGCAAAAACACACACACACACTCCTGAAAGCTGTAAACACAAGTTATTGTTACAGTGAAAAGGCCACAGAGAGTGGTTAATCTGGCAATTAGTTTACACATTTATTGTTCTGCATCCCCCACTATATTCTCCATTCCTAAACCCAATCAAAGGGGTTGTTTTCCTGCAGGGCGATTAAAGGTGTGTGACCAACACCCGCTCACATGCACAGTAGGGCCTGGCTCATTTCGTGGCATCTGCAGGCAGTGGCAAGTACTTCCGGCATCTGCCACAGAGGCCGCTACTCCGTGGTATCTGTGGCAAGTATATGCCACAGATGTGGTATCTGTGGCAAGTATATGCCACAGATGCCACAACTTGCCGTGGCAAGTATATGCCACAACCATGCCACAACTTGCCGTG